TTCAAGAGCTCCGAATGACGAAAAATGTGATTAAAATCGAAGCAATCCCAACAGTACGAAGAAACGAAAGTTTCACATTTCCGGATATAAAAGTATTTGGTTGATTATTTTACACTGTGAATGCAGCTCTGCCTTGCTGTACATAACGTGGTGGAGAGAATGTGTCCTGGGGGGTGTTGAGGGGCTTGCCCCCCATCAACCCTCCCCTCCGGCACCCCTAGTCACAGCAATTTATAATATATTAGGTTGGTTTATTGGTCAAATCGTTTTTGGGGGGGATTGGAACGTGTTAATTCCTGTAGAGTTTTCCCGAAATGTGGGTTGGGTTCCCGAAGAGTTTTTGATATCTGGTGCGTCAGCCCGTAAAATTTCAAAGATGGCAGTTAAATGGGTAGCGTTTCATTTGCCGATTTTGAGCATTTTTTGTGCTAGTTTTATGCATTTTTGATCTATATTATTCTTGTTTAAGCTTGTTTTACCCCATAATTTCCTTTACCCCATAATTTACTTCATGCCCTCCCCTGCTAACGGGACTATCAAATCAAGATTATCGATGGAGAAATGGTACTCGATCTCCTGAACGATTCGTTCGCAGAAGAAAAACCGAAAGTCGATTAAATCATAGGATTTCATGGTTACGGTGACTGGGCATGTCCTTCAGGCACTGCCAGAGGGGAGGGTTGATGAGGGGCTCTGCCCAACACCACCCTGGGAAACATTCTCTTAACCTTGGTATGCACGGCAAGACGAGATCAATCAGTTCAGAAAATTACAGCACTTTTTACAGTTTACAGAATGAGGCAGGTCACTGGTGTAGCCAGAAATGTGCATATTAAATATTACCTGTATTTGAATAGTTTGACAATTAACGATATTAAGGAGTTAGCCAAAATTGAGGATCAAAAATACGCACATTTTAAAAAGGGGCTGAAACTTGAATATATATGAAACGTTAGTCAATAGTCGTGTGAATTTTTATGATACAGTAAATGGAATATTGTACTTGAACTTTAATTAGCAATTAAAAATCTCCACTAAACTGAGGTAGTGGTGACATAGGTCCACAGTAGGGCAGAAGACACTCTGCGAGCTTTGCGGCAACTTATTCTTTCGCGCCGAGCGAGTAGACTCATACGGTGATCCTTATGGTAGTTTAAGATGCGGTTCACTTACTCATTCGTTCGTGCAACACTGTCGAATCATCCGAGGCTGTAACTTGTCTTGGGTGTTTACATTTTACATTTTCTTTGTCATATGAAATACTGGTAATTGTTAGAGCCCGACGCATCTCCTAGAAACTATGTTCCAAATGGGGGGGGGGGGGGGTCCTCACAGACTAATTTCCTAAGGAGGAGGGGAGGAGGGATGAAGGGGAGAAAGTGAGTTCACTAAAACCACTTAAACATCTATAAAAATTGTAATATGAAAGATGAGGCTAAACTCATGTCATGGCAACAATAGAAAGGCCGTAAAAAAATGAGCGGTATAAGTTACAGACCGCGACGTGCGTAGATAGAGGAAAAGGGACACCACCATCTTATAGAACGGGAAAAATAGAAGGGGATAGCGTATAGTTTAAGATGCACCGGCCTTGTAGTCACCGCTAAATGACGAAAATATAACGCACGGCCGCCTTTCAAATTCAAAGTCAATGAGCTTGTTTACCTTGCGAGGAAAAACACAACTGACCCACGAACGCCTTTTTGCGTTCTCGAACTAGTCTATCATTACGCGCTTGTCAAAACGATATTTGGCTAATTGTCTGTCTGCTGGTACAAATTTATACACTTAAAGTCTTTTAGTAATGTTATAATACTTCAATTGCATATTTTTATATTTATCTATACCCTCATATCCTGCGCATCGAGTGTTTCACACTTTCTTACGCCAGCCACAGGTTGAAAGCTCACCATACCACTCATTTCGAGATTGAAAGCCGGTGAAAACGTTGCGCTTCCAGTGTTAGTGTTGATTCTGGGTTCTTTTTAAGACCTTTACAGTGGCATCGAAGAATAATTAGACTTCGGTAACCATTCCAGTTTTATATCTGAGCCCATCAAGAGCTCCAAAGGATGAAAAAGTGATTAAAATCAAAGCAATACCAACAGTACAAAGAAACGAAAGTTTCACGTTTCCGGATATAAAGATATTTGGTTTATTATTTTACGGTGTGAATGCAGCTCTGTCTTGCCATACATACTGTGGTGGAGAGAATATGTCCTGGGGGTGTTGGGGGGCTTGTCCCCCATCAACCCTCCCCTCGGGCAGTGCCCGAAGGGCACGCCTAGTCACGGCAATTTATATTGATATATTAGGTTGGTTTATTGGTCAATACGTTTTTGGGGGTTGGAACGTGTGAATTTCCGTAGTTTTACCGAAATGTGGGTTGGGATCCCGTAGAGTTTATTTATTTCGCGTCAGTCCGTAAACTTTCAAAGATGGCGGTTACATCCTTAGAGTTTCATTGGCCGATTTTTTGTGCTAGTTTTACGCATTTTTGATCGTTCTTATTTAAGCTTGTTTTACCCCATAATTTCCCTGATATACTTCATGCCCTCCCCTGCTAACGGGACTATCATATCAAGATTGTCGATGGAGAAATGGTACTCAATCTCCTGAACGATTCATTCGCAAAAGAAAACCCCGAAAATCGATGAAATCATAGGATTTCATGCAGAAAAACATCATTTTTTTCGACTTGGTCTCTGAGAGGGTGCGTCGCTCTCTAACAATTACTAAATGAGCTAAACTGTCAGACAGACACCAAATGAAATACCGCTAAAGTAAACAATCGCAACTCGCAATGCGTACTAACCCGATATCCTATATACAAATATAAAATGTTATGCTAACCGAAATAACGAACAAATATCAAATTAATTCCCACCCCTCCGCTTATTTGCACGATGTCAATTTATTTTAAAAATTATTAAACAATATACAACTCATACTGTCACTCTACAGACGAGATGCGGTCTGGAGGAACTAATGAAATCTTTTACTCTCCGCCGGATACAATATTTTTAATGTGTGCTTGGCAAAGTACCCGGCGAAGTGAAATTGCATCTAATTTTTCTATCATCATTTTTTTTTTTTTTTTTTGGGGGGGGGGGGGGTTGTCGCATCTACATGAATATTATAAAATC